AGCAGTTGTAGTTGAAGGTGCTTTAGTTGTGGTTGTTGGTGCTTTAGTTGTGGTTGGTGGTGTAGCAGTTGTAGTTGAAGGTGCTTGAGTTGTGGTTGTTGGTGTATCTCTTGTAGTTGTTGGTGCTTGGGTTGTGGTTGTTGGTGTAGCAGTTGCAGTTGTTGGTGCTTGACTTGTGGTTGTTTGTGCTGCAGTTGTACTTGTTGGTGCTTGAGTTGTTGTTAGTTCTTTAGTTGTGGTTGAATGTGCTGCAGTTGTTGTTGTTGGTGCAGAAGTTGTGGTTGTTGTTGTAGACATAGTTGATGTTGAAGTAGTGGTCGTAATTGGATTGTTACACATACTGCTTGTACAACAGTTCGGTCCACTGGATATACTACCAACATTGGTCATAAAAGGTAGAGTACTGAGATGGCCAGCAGCAGCACATATGTTTGAAGTCATGCATCCATACACTGGTGTTGTTAAGGAATTGTTTGTCACTGTGGATTAGACAACATTGTCTTTATTTACGTTAAGAATCATTACAAATTTCTTATCCTTGTGGTTTTACATTTTCTTTTCAAACTCTGAATATAAATAAAAAACAACTTTTATGAAATAAAATACAACGAAGTGTTTTTTTTTACAACAATATCACCTTTTTTAAGAACTATCACTGCAGACCAGATTCACTAAATGTTCAATCATTTTTGCATTTCACAACACCCTCACAATGTAAGATTTCTGAATCAGACTTGGTTCAGCATCTCTCTACACTGTTGCTGTTTGATACTTATAAAAGGGGTATTAGAGGCATTTGATGCAACAAATTCAGATTCAGATGTGGTACATGTGGTGGAATGAAACATGTACACAGGGTCCCACTTACATCCAACAATAAAATGTAAAAGAAAAACAGGCGTCTTTCTGTCTTATCGAGATACTCAAAGCACTTTACACTACAATCTGTGTCCTCATTTACCCATTCATACAGCACTCTACAAGATCTCTACAAAGTTAACTGAACAAATAATTCTAAAGAGACTAATCAGAGCTTTATCACATTCATACACCAATGGGACACACATCAGAGGCATCGAAAGTTTCAGTGTCTTGCCCTGAGACACTTCAGCATGTGACTGCTGGTGGGTTCGAACCTCCAACTCTTGCACTGGAGGACGACTGCTCTAACCACAGCCGCCCCATAAAAGTAATACGCCGAACAGCAGCATGAACATGAGTCTGTGTGAGCAGACGAGCATGCATGAACACAGCAACATTAAACAGATCAGCAACATCACAATGTGATTTTTTCACAGTGATTATTCTGGTTAGAGATTCATGAGTCTAACAACTTCAGGGTCTAAGAAACGTCTAAAAAGATTAAATTATCATTAATGCCAAAATGTCAGGTTTAGATATAAAAACACCTAATGAATTAACAATGAATGTGATTCTTTTTTGACACGGCCATATGTTTTTATGCACCTTCATTAGAGTATTTATGCTTTTAGAGCTGCTGCCTCTCAGCAAGCAGGTTACCTTGGTTCAAATCCCAGTCCAGGAGCCTTTCTGGGTGGAGTTTGCATGTTCTATCTGTGCATGCGTGGGTTGTCTCCGGGTAATCCGGTTTCCTCCCACAGACCAAAAACATGCATGTTAGGCTAATTGGTAACTTTAAATTGTCCCTAGGTGAGAGAGAGAGAGTGAACGGTTGTTTGTCTCGTTTGTCTCTATGTGGCCCTGTGATGGACTTGCGACCTGTCCAGGGTGTTCCCCGCCCCTCACACAGTGATTGCTGGATATGGGCAGGCCCCGTGACCCAAAATGGAAAAAAACGGGTAAAGATAATGGATGGATGATAAAACCTAAAGTGTACTGTGTGAAAATATTTTTCTGTTAGTTCTGTTTGTGACAGACACCCACAGTATGTTCTGAAGCTTTCTCACACAACACTAGTGCAAATTACTCAGACCATAACTTGATAGTTGTATTTGCAGAAACATTTCTTATGTTATTTGCTTGTGAATATTGTGCAGAATACACAGGGACTGCAGAAGGAGAAATTTTGTAACTAAAATGAACCGGAGAACATTCAGTAGTGAATTTACCTGTGAATGTTTCTATCTTAAAACAATAATGTATATTGTAATTCTTTGTTGTAAAGTAGTACAACACAGTTAAAAGTTAATCAAAAAATTGTTTAAAGTAGACTCTGGAAGAATGCTTGTTTTTAAAATGTAAACTCACCGGTTGCAGTGAAGCAGTCACTCTCCTCTCCTGAACAAGATATACTGGAGCATGTAGAGGTATTGGCGTTACAAGCAGTGCACTGCAGGCTGTTAGAACTCTCTGTACTGGGAACTGAAATACACACAAATTAAAATTGTGTTTTTGTAAGAGAGAACAAAAGCAGAACTTGGAACTCATTTACTGTATATCTATATGACAAAACGTACAAGATAGTGTTTGTGAGTTGCAGTTGTCAGAGCTGCAGCACTGAGCAGATGCAGTTGCACTTGACAAACCCAGGTTGACTGAAAAGGTCTGATTGCCTGGACTTGGACACAGAGAGGACGGTGCACAAGCCTTGTAGATTTGTTGTGCTGGTGTTCCCGATGAATAAGCTGCAAAATCAAAATGTGTTTTTTTAATGTTCATTTAAAATTAACAGGACGTTCATATACAAACACTGCATTATTTAAATGTGACACGAAAAGACAAATACCTTGAATGGAAGCTGTTATACACATAGTCTCGCCTGAGGTACATGTTAGTGACACTGTTGTTGAACATGCCTGATTTGTGCAGGTGACACACTGCAGGGCTTTAGCTGCAAACATAAAACATATTAATTTAAAGAATGACTGTTTTAACATGCTAATGATGACCTGGTACTATAGGCTTCAGAGTATGGACAACTTTAAGATGTATAACTTTTGAAAACCATTTAAGAAATTAAGATGCTTTAAAAAAAAAAAATAAATTCTCCAGAGCTCAAGCAATAAGATTTTCAAAAGAATTTAAGTAACAGCTAAATTGTCCTGAACATTCTCAGGTTGTCAAATATTTAAAAAAAGAAAATGGGTCAAAATGTAAGAGTTTTTGAAGGCTGAAAGTTTACAAGTTTTCAGAATGAATATTTTATGCAAGATCTTTTACACTTTATTAATTGAGAAAAATGACAAATTGTATAGGCTGATATTTGTTACTTTTAGTCGCATTGGTTACTGCAACAGTGTCTTCACAGGTCTGCCTAAAAAAAAATCAATCAGACAGCTGCAACTGATCCAGAACGCTGCTGCTCACGTCCTCACTAAAACCAGGAAGATAGAGCACATCAACCCAGTTTTAAAATCCCTACACTGGATCCCTGTAGCTCAGAGAATATACTTTAAAATACTGTTGTTAGTTTATAAATCACTGAATGGCTTAGCACATTACAATACATTAAAGATGTGCTGTTGTCTCAACCTTCCAGACCACTCAGGTCTTCTGGTTCTGGTCTGCTCTGTATCCCCAGAATCAGAACCAAACATGGTGAAACAGCATTCAGCTTCTATGCACCACAAATCTGGAATAAACTTCCAGAAAACTGCAAAACAGCTGAAACACTGCGTTCCTTTAAATCAAGGCTAAAATCCCACCAGTTTATAGAGCTGCTTTTGAACTGCAATAAATGGAACATTGATCAACTATATGATGGCAAAATGTAATGTTTGTTACTGGTTTCTCAGTTGGTGACTATGTTGTTCTTATGACTTTTAATTTTGTGTTTTTATGATGTAAATCACTTTGAACTACCTTGTTGCTGAAATGGTTAAACTTGATTGATTGATTTATATATATTATAGATAAAGGGTCTAGTTTTTGATACCTTTGATAAGGTCATTAGAAAATCAAGCAAATGCTGTATATTCTTGTTTTTAGTATTTTACCTTGTTTTATATGGCACTTTGATAATTTGTTTTTATAACTATTGCTTTTATTGTTGCATATTGTTGTTTATTGGACCTATATCTTGGCTGCCTAAAACAGATCACTTGAAAATTAATCCTTGTGACTCAGTGTATGACTACCTGTTTAAATAAAGGTAAATAGGTTAAATGATAAATGAAAAGGTTTCATAGCAGGATAGAAATAGAATAGTTAAAATATATATATATTTGAATTATTATCCTGATTTGGTGCCCTTTTTAAAAACATTATTTATTTTATCAAATGACTCATCTGAGGGAAAAAAGTCATTTTGCAAATGTGAAAATTGGCAATACAAAAATAAAATATATGGAAATTATTAAAAAATGCTCTTCAAAACCAAAAGAAAATTACATATATAATTTAAGAATAAGTACAAATACATTTCCCTACAGAAACTGAAGTAAGGCCATCATAAGTGGTTACCTGTGCTGACAATAGTCCAGATGAGAGCGAGTGAAAAAATCAGCTTCACCATGTCATTCAGGAGAGTTCTGCAGCTCTGGGCTCCTGGGTTCTGATACTAAAACTCTTGAGGTTTTCCACACTTTTTATACTGCACAGGTGAACCCTGTGACAGGGCGTGTTCACATGTTTACAGCGTCACCATTCCAAAATTTGTATACTGGCAATAAGGCACGCCCTAACACACCTTTTTAAGCATGTCAAGAGTTAATTATAGGAGACGCGTATCTTAAATAAAAATACATTTTGTATTTCCACAGACAATACCTGTCAATATCAATACGTAATATATCAATACTTGTTGTTTCAACTGTGTGGTTATTCCTGTATTCCCTCCAGGGGGAACCAGAAACCAGCCTGATGACCTTCAGAAGTTTGCTATTATCATTTTTTCCTTTCACATTTCTTAGATTTTTCTCATGTTTTTTTTTTTTAAATTTTTTAACCACACCAACCTTCAAAGTCATTGTCAAACTTCTACATAACACAAACAAAACATTGCTTGTTAAATGGTGTTTTTCTTCTTAAATAGTTTTGAACAATTTTATGAAAATTATCAAGTCTAAATTAATAAAAACAAAGAAAAAAAACCATTTTTTCTAATTAAAAATATATATTTAAAATAAAAAACGCTGATCATGTCACAAATGTTTACTAATTTTTGCAAACATGTCAAGTTAACGCATAAATACTGCTCAGTTCAATGTAATTATATATATATATATATATATATATATATATCCCACAAGTTTTCATTAATTCAACCTTTATTTCTACAGGTTAGTCTCATTGAGTCACGAGGACTCATTTACAAGAGAGACCTGTTTTAAACAAAAGCTGCAGATGAGGTGCACACAGCAATAAACATTCATATAAAAGCATATAAAATGAAAAGTAAATAAAAGAAGTGATATAAAACAATGTAAAAAGCATGCTACATGATAAAACAGTGTAAAATACTAAAAACAGGAACATGTTTGCATTGATTTTGCATTGAACTTAACAGTTGATTAAAATCCCTTAGGGAGGTAAAAATCGACAGCTTCAGATGTTTTTGCAAGGCGTTCCTGGTTACAGGAGCGGAGTAAGAGAAGGCTCTTTTGCCAAATTTAGTTCGCACTGCGGGGACACTGCAGGGACACTGCAGGGACACTGCAGGGACACTGCAGGGACACTGCAGGGACACTGCAGGGAGCGCATACTGTAACACTGTAGCTGCACTCACATAGTGACATTTATGAGGAGATGTATGAAGGTAGCAGACCAAGAAGAGATTTAAAGATGAAAATATACCAGTGTGAGAGTTTGCGTGAAGTTAATGATGACCAGTTGACCAATGAGTACAGAGTGCTGTGATGAGTAGTTACAGCCAGTTATGAATCTTAGCGCACCATGGTAAACAGCATCCAACATCTGTAAGGTGTCTGCAGGAGCATTCATACAAAAAAAAAAGTGACTATAGTCAGTGGACGGAAGGAAAGTAGCTGTTACAAGGCATTTCGTAGCATTTGGAGTTAGACAGGATCTATTTCTGAAGAAGAAATCCAATTTTACTTTCAGTTAAAAAGTACAATAATTTAAGAGCATTTCAGAAATATAATATTACAATGCTAGATGATACACAATTCAGTAGTTTAATCAATCAACCTTTATTTAGACAGGTAAATCCCATTGAGCCTCGAGGACTCATTTACAAGAGAGACCTGATTTCCACAAAGAAAGATGACAACAATGGACAACAGCAACAACAATAAACAATTATAAAAAGTCATAATACAGGTTTTTTTTTTTTTTTTTTTTTAAAAAATGGATGGGCTAAAAGGAAAAGGTAACAAAAAAACAAAAAAAAAACAATGATCTAATACAACAGAAAAATTAATGTAAAATCTAAAACCTTTTTGGGAAGAGACTCCAACGTATATCAGTGGATATTTTAAGCATCAACAGTTTCATTAAAAGCAATTCAATAGGATGAATGATGTCATCATCACAGGGAGCAATATTAAGTCGAGCGGTGGCCGCTGACAACAGTGGTGAACTCATTGAGATGGATGCCAACTCCATGGAGCAACAAGTCGCCACGCTTTTGCAGGTGCAAGGGATAGAACTGGACTGTAACAAAATCAAAGTCCGTCATCCTTTGCGCAGGGAAAATACCAGCAACAAACCTGCAGTCAAGAGGTTTGTTAATGGAATGGACTAAAGCAAGGGAGTAAATTAAAGGGAACAAACATCTTGATCAATGAGCCCTTGATGAAACACAAGGCAAACATTGTTAAAAAAAAGCACGTTACCTCAAGAAACCAAAAAAAAAAAAAAAAAAAGAAAATCAACACACTTGGACTTCAAACTGTAAAATATTCATCAAACTTAATAGAACGCAAAAGGAGGTCAAAGTATTGATGGTGAGGAGCATTGAAGAACTGGATAAATTACTAATAAGCAACAAGAACTTGACTTTAAGGTGACTACTAACTCTGCAAACAGTCATAACACAACTGCATGACACACACCGGAGATAACAACCCAGAGGATCGCTGAATTGGATAATTTTGATTTTCAAACCTTTCAATACACTAAGCACAATTCACTGGACAATGAAGACGATACTGACCTGGACAATTATTTCTTCATCTCCATCAATAACAGCTGTTATTACAATGATGAACAGTATAATTAAATTAACAAGGAGGGAAAAATATATATTGTACACATTAAGAGTAGGAGTCTGTATGCAAATTTTACAAGCATTAAGGATAATTTGAATCAATTCATTCAATATCATTGCAATATCAGAATCATGGATCAAAACTGATGAAGGTGTGAACTTTGAGCTTGAAAGATATGACTTCATGCACATGGATTGACAAAACAAAGGAGGTGGGAGATTGTGATATATCCATCCATCCAGCCATCCATTATCTTCTGCTTATTCTGAAGTTGGGTCATGGGGGCAGCAGCCTGAGCAGGAAGACCCATACATTGCTTTACACAACCACCTCTTCCAGCTTTTGGAAGGCCTCCAAGGTGTTCCCAGGCCAACTGAGAAGTAGGTTCTTCAGCATGTCCTGGGTCTTCCCCGGCGTCTCCTCCCAGTCAGACATGCCTGAAGCACTTCCCTAGGGAGGTGCCCAGGAATCATCCTTACCAGATGCCTGAACCACCTCAACTGATTCCTCTCAATGTGGAGGAGCAGCGGTTCTATTCCGAGTCTCTCCTGGATAACTGAAGTTCTCACCCTATCTCTAAGGGAGAGTCCAACGACCCTGCAGAGGAAACGCATTTCAACCGCCGGTATCCACGATCTCATTCTTGCGGTCATGACCCAGAGCTCATGACCATAGGTGAGGGTAGGAACGTAGACTGACTGGTAAACAGTAAGCTTACAGTTCAGCTCACTCTTCACCAAAACAGACCAGTACAGAGTCTGCAATACTGCAGATGCTGCATCAATCCGTCTGTCAATCTCACGCTCCATTCTTCCCTCACTTGTGAACAAAACCCAGAGATACTTGAAGTCCTCCACTTGTGGCAGAACCTCACCCTCAACCTGAAGAGAGCAATCTACCCTTTTCTGAGGACCATGGCCTCAGATTTGGAGGTGCTGATTCTCATTCTCGGCCACTTCACACTCATCTGCGAACCGTTCCAGTGAGAGCTGAAGATCACGGCACAATGACACCAACAGTACCACATAATTCGCAAATAGCAGAGAAGAAATCCTGAGGCCACTGAACCAGACTCCCTCTGCCCCCTGGCTGCACCGAGAAATTCTGTCCATAAAAGTTATGAACAGAATCGATGACAACGGGCAGCCCTGTCGGAGTCCAACTCCCACCCTGAAGGGGTCAGACTTACTTCCAGCTATGTGAACCAAGTCATATTTAGTCCCATTTCTACAACTGTTTTACCATGCACAGAAAGAACTGGTGGGTGACAAATATCCCACTATCAACCTTGTTTGCCTCTGGAATGAGAAGCTGAAGCAACACTGCCAGCCAGTCCACAGACTCCCCACAGCAGGCGTTTGTGCGCCACAGACATACTGAAGTACTGGAGCACAAAATCATTATCCACAACTTACACAGAGCTGCACTTTTCCTGTGGCCTAATTTTAACAAACTTAAAATGATGACACCTGCTGATGTGTGTCAGGTGCACACTCAGGTTTGCACCCTACTCTTAGCTGGCCACACGATAGACCAGCGGAGGACTGCTCTCAAACCTGCTACAGTGGATGCAATTTTATTCTTACATGACAACATGTAAAACCATGTAAGTAGAACACAATAACTTCTTGACAGATTTAAACGTCATAAACTAAGCCAGCTGTATATATGCACTTTTTATTTTGTTCATGTTTGTACAATTCTTATCAGTATATATTTTTTTTAATAATTTTTATTGCTTTTTACCACTCCTTTTATTGTTGCAATTCAAGATTGTGCAATATTAGTTGCCGGTCTGCCTGCCTGCTAGCCAGCCAGCCTGCTTGCCTGCCTTTCTCTTTACCCGATATGTCTGTTACTTGTTATAAATGTTTTGTATTAGCATAAGTATTGTTGTAGAATGTAGGCCTTTTCAATTTATTTTTCATGCACACACTAGTTTTATTCTGTGGTGTAGTGTGGGTGTACGTTAAATTGCTCAATCATCAGCGACAGGGTGACTCGGGTTAATTTTGCACAACTTTCTTTTATGTCTAAATGAAAATAGCCTTGTTCTATATTTTTCCAAATAATTTTGCTCTAATTTTTTTTGTTCATCTGTATAATAGTTATAGTAATATAATATATATAATATAGTAATAATAATCTTAAGAGTTGATTTTTAAGGCTATTCATTTTGTTTGTATCCATTTGGTGACTTGTTAATTCAATTAAATTCAGTTTATTTATTTAGTACCAAGTCACAACAGAAATCATGTCAAAGCACTGAACAGAAACATTCATATATAAAAATAATAATTTAACTAAATCTTCTCTAACACCTCTGTGCCACCAATCCCCAGCATGAAGCATGAAGTCGACAGTGGAAAGGAAAAACGCCCTCACGAGGAAGAAACCTTTAGCAGAACCAGGCTCAGGACAAGCTGCTTCGACCGGTTGGGTTTGAGAGGAACAGATACACAATGGCAGGTCAAGAATCATGTTAAGATAGAAATAATATCAAATGAAAACTATTAAATTTTCACAATTCATTTAAGGAAATGAGGTCAATTTAACTTGTTAATAAACAAGAACTTTTATATTTTCCTTTTGTTACATTTTTAAAATGTGTCAAACTGATTTGCTTACAAAACCAGTAAAAGTTTAATTTAAAAAAGTCTTTTTTTCGGGTTCATACCTGTAATTACAGTTAATCCGTCGGGTCTGTGTCGGGTTTGGAAAAAAAACATCTATGGGCTCGGTCCGGGCCAGGGCTGGACTTTTAGGCTCGAATGCAACTCTAATGCAGAGAGCCGCACGGAACACACCGGGAACCAGACCAGAACCAGAACAGAACTGGACTTCCAGACTCATCGATCAATCTGAGAGTTGCTTGCCGGCCCACAAGGACTTCCGAGGAGGGAGGCACCGCCGTCATCTCTGGAGCCCACCAAGACTTCCCCATCCAGATTTGGACTCAATCGGACCACCATCTGGTCCCATGCTGGACATACGAAGGTCTGGTTTCCTCCAAAATGCACTTCAGTGCTCAAGGGCTGCAACAGAGCCAGAGTCAACTTAAAATTTTAAGTTGAGTGAATAAACATTATCAACTTATCTTAATAAACTCTTGCTAAATAAATTTTGGCTTTAATTTTTAAAATTTAAATATAAATTAGTTGACTGAACTGTTTTGGTATGTTGTTTTATGTCAGAAATCTATGTCAGTTCTACTTTGTGGATTTCCACTTATTGCGGGTGGTGGGGTGGGTGTTCCGAATCGTAACTACTGTATTTTACAAATTTGTACTTGTTTTTAGTATTTATAACACTACTTTTATTTTAACTGTATTTTTACTGTAGTTTATGGTTACTGTTGTCTGTACTTTATATGTTCTGTCTGGAACAGGTCTCTCTTGTAAATTCATTCGTACTCACCTGCTCACACACTCATGTTTACGCTGCTGTTGTTCGGCGTATTGTATTTGTGCTTAGTGTCTTCTTACTTTAGCATATTTCTTAGTTCATATCTTGGATCTTGTATATGCATTGGTGAATATTTTAGTATGCATTTGTGAAACTTGTGGTACACTTGTGGATCTTATTGCATGCATACAAATCTCGTATGCTTGTGTGACTACTTTTGACATTGATTTATCTTCAAAGTCTTTCCATCAAATCTGCCTTTAATACATGCCTCTTTATGACCCTAGGCTCAGGGTTTGAGCCCAGTTGTTATGTTGTAAAAAGGCAAATTCTGAAAATGCGTAACATGATCAAATAGGAAATTCACTGTTCTCTATCAGCAGAAACTTAAGCAAAACTGGCAAGCATCAAGATGAGATTCAGAAAAAAGATCAGCTTCATTCTGTTGTTCAAATGGGTTATGAAGATCAGTTCTCACATCTGATACTAAAACTCAAGTTTTACTACATTTTTCATTGATGCACATGTTCAGACTGGGTGTGCTTCTTTGCTTAGTTTCACAGTTCTAAAACTCCCTTGTCCCTCATCAATGCATAGTAACAAGAACCCGATATACCCCTCACATCAGTGTGTTAAGATGAAATTGTATGGGACAGTTCACTAAGTTCAGTTAACACAAACTGTGTAGGTTTGTGTCTTCGAGTTTTGGACTCGCCCTTGTTCCTTACTTTGAGGTGAAAGCTGAAAACTGTGTAAATTTTTGTTAATTCAAATAGCTCTTATCTTGCAGCTTTATGTTCAAATAATAATTATACTAATTTATTCTTTTTGTACTGAACTTTACATTTTACAATCTCAAAGTGCTTATATATATATATAATAATAATTAAAAAAAATATTATTACCTTCAGTTTCTATGAGTTATTTGATTTTTTTTTTAAGTATCATTGATTGACAATGACTTTTATTTACAATGTAACGGCGTAGCCAGTTAGGATAGTGTATAGGCAGAATACAAGATTTCCTCCCAAAAAGGCACAATATTCAGATATTATGTGACCTATACTTCAGAGAGGAATAGTTGATCATCTGCGCATACGTATGAAATGTACACCTGCTAAATTGGTTAACAATGTGTTCTATAGGAAACTTTTATATCATGAACAGAACTGGTTCATAATCAGAACCCAGAGGTAACATGATGTTGAGTATATTTGACCCCAAGTTAGCAGACTGATGAAAACACAGAGTCAAAGACAACAAAAAGTAAATAATTGATTTACAAAGTGCAGGAAACTTTCAGGGTTGGAAGGGAAAAGGGTATTTTTAATTATTGGTAGATTTCTGAATTCTTGAAGAATGGAAAGTGTTTGTAGATAATCGTTTTCTTACAGGTTGTGTTGAAGAGGAGGGAGAAACAAGATCCTAGGTTTCCAGATGAGGGTGACTCGTGATAAAGAAGGGGTGAGTATTGTTGGTGAGAGAACAGATTGAAACTAGTGCTTGGTATTTTGATCCAGGCTGGAACAGGATGATGACAAGGCAAGGTCACAAGGAGCGAGGAGGTCTCAGACTGCATGGAGGAGCAGGATTTAAATTACACAGGATAATCCCAAGGTTACTCAAAGTTTTACAAGGAATAAGTTGACCGGCTGTCACTTAAGTTTCCATAAGGTATCGTAATGTTCAAGTGTCAGATAAATGTCCACAAGAAAGAAGCCTGATAACTGAAAGATCTTTTTCCCATTCTGATTTTGGAAAATCTAGGAACCGCAAGTAAGACTGCAGTCAGAGAGCAAAATGCTTTGTTGGGAAATATGGAACAATAAGATCTTTAATATAAGATGGAGCTAGGTTGTTGAGAGCTTTGCAGGTTAGAAGTAAGCTTTTGAATTCAATTCTGAATTTGACAGAGACCCATTGTAGAGAATAAAACTAGAGATATGATCTCTCCTGTTAATTCCATTTAAGACTTTGGCAGCAGCATGTATTAAATCAATTAAAAATATATATTTTTTCTTAATATTTTTGAAACTCTGCCCTTGATAGAATCATTTATTCTAAAATTGTTTTTTGACTGTACCCACCCATAAATATGAGTGAGCTGCAGGTGCACACTACATCCAGTAATGGCAACCAGCCTTTGGATATAATCACATCAGCCAGCCACTATCAGCCATGGAGATTTCATTCTGCAGCCTGCATCCATTTTGAACATTTTTGTAGTACTAAATGTTCACATTACAAGTGAGTTTTTGCTTTTTACATCTAAACTAAAACACTAGTCAGATAAGATGAAAGGCAGGACTCCACTAACTTTGGAGGAGAACAATGTACCTCTGCTGGGGGTGAGTTGAACTAAATTAGTTGACATTTGCAGTTCAATTCAATTCAATTCAACTTAAAAATATTTATTAATCCCAAAGGGAAATTATTTGTTGTTGTAACTCGTTATCCTCATTTCATTAAGAGACATTATAGATACTGATGGCTGTAGGCAGGAAGGATCTCTTGTAAAGGTCCATCCCACAGTGGATCCTAAGAAACTGGCTGCAGATGCTGTCCGATCCGTCCACCCAGACTCGGCTGGCCTCTCGGTTCCCCCGAGCTGTAGGACCGCCCAAATGCCGGGCAGAGCTCCTCCCAGAGCGATGGCCACTCCTCCCAGCAGTCTGCCGAGCTCCTCGTCGCTGCGGACAGCCAACTGTAGGTGCCGAGGGACGATCCCGTCCTTCTGCTGTCATGAGCCATGTTTCCTGCTAGTTCCAGGATCTCAGTGGTCAGACACTCGAGCACAGCTGGCAGGTAGATGAGAATGCGTCCACAGAACATCCTTGCAACTCATCTGAGATTTGGGGCTGTAGTTGAGATATTATTTGGCTTTTGAGATGTTAATCAGCTGGTTGTAGAAAACTGCCTTGTTGCCATAGTAACGCATCATAAAAAAATGTCCAAAACTAAAAAAGTTTCAGTAAAAATCCTTCCAGCTGCACAGCATCTGATACCAGAGGAGACAATCATCCAAAAAATGTGATTTACATCCAGAAAAAGAGGAATTAAAGTTTCCAAAAGCAAAATCTCAGAATGAAAGTAACAGAGCTGCTCCAACATGCAGCCACCTTGAGCGGCGCAATTCTAGAATTTGTTGGCATAGTATATATTTTTTGAAAGGCTCTAAAATATAAAAGCGGAGCAACAACTTGCATGCTAAAATAAAATAGCAAGTTTATTAACAAAGATAAAAGGAAGAAAACATTACCTAGAGGTGGTGGCTCAGTTGGTACAGCTGTTGCCTCAGTGAAAAGTTTGCTGGATTAAATCCCAGCCAGGGACCTTTTTGGGTGGAGTTTGCATTTTCTTGCCATGCATGTGTGGGTTTTCTCCAGATACTCCGGTTTTATCCCACAGACCAAAAACATGCATGTTAGGCTGATTGGTAACTCTAAATTGTCCCTAGGTGTGAGTGAGAGTGAATGTTTTTTTTATCTCTCTGTGTCCCTGTGATGGACTGGAGACAGTCCCCCACCTCTCACACAGTGACTGATGGATATGGGTACCATTGGACCCCGCGGCCCAAAAAGGAAGAAGCGGGTAAAGATAATGGATGGATGGATGAATTCAACAGTACTTAAGTTTTTTCTTTATTTATTTTTTAGCAAACTTTTGATTCTGATTTTCTTTAAGTAGGGAGTCATCTTAAGGGTTTCACTCCTCTCCATTCACAGTAATCTAAAATTTAAAATTATAAATAAGACCTGACAGTTTTAGTGACTCATCTCTTGATGACACCTTTTTACCCCAAAAAGAATGAACCACAGTACTTTTGACCCAATGCGTCTCAAACAGATAAGACCAAACTAAAGGTTTTTACTCATAATGCAAAGTGCAGTGTTTGCCCAAAAATCAGACACAGCATAACAACAGAAATGTGTCATTCAAGTTTAATCATGGTGGTACAGGGCTGAAGATTTGGGTTTAATTTTGGGCATCTTGCAGTCATTGAGATGATCATTGACTCCTCTGTAGACTAAATAATTCTAGAGTCTTAATCAGCAGGAATTTACTTATGGACATGTATCTTTGTACACTTATAGAAGGATTTATTTATTTCTACAAGAATTACATAAACTTGCAAAAAGCTAACAGATAAAAAGACAAAAAACATTTTTTATAAACAGTTCTCTTGAATCATAAATACATGTAAATGTTATAAATAACAATAATAAATAATGACATTGATTTCAACAAACATGAGACTTTTTTTTTTAAATATTGCAGTTTTTTTCAGGTGTATGTCACAATACCCAGGTCATTGTTTAAACACATCATATTGTAATTTTCATCATTCATGGCTGTAAATCATCCATATAATTTAAATGACTTTACAACATAAGAACAAAAAATCCAAGTAGCAGATGGAGCATGCCCAGTCTGACTCTAGATGCACCACTGGTGGTTGTTGAAGTGGTGGCTGACTGTCCTGGAGTAGTTGTTGTAGTAGTTGGTGTTGTGGTTGTAGTGGTTTTTGTTATGGTTGGGGTTGTTGTAATAGTGGTTGACGTTGTGTTTGTAATAATTACAATGGATTGTTGCTTAGTTGTGGTTGTTAGTGCAACAGTTGTGGTTATTGGTGCTACAGGTGTGATTGTTGGTTTTGTACTTGTAGGTGTAGATGGAGACGTTTGAGTTGTAGTTGCTGGTGTTTGAGTTTTGATTGTTGATTCTTGAGTTGTGATTGTTAGTGGTTGAGTTGTGATTGTTGGTGGTTGAGTTAAAATTGTTGGTGGTTGAGTTAAGATTGTTTGTGGTTGAGTTAAGATTGTTTGTGGTTGAGTGAAGATAGTTGGTGCTTGAGTTATGATTGCTGGTGCTTCAGTTGTGATTGTTAGTGCTTGAGTTGTTGTTGTTGTTGCAGAAGTTTTGATTGATGGTGCTTGGCTTGTGGTTGTTGCAGAAATTGTGGTTGTTGGTGCTCCAATTGTAGTTGTTGCTAATTTTGTTATTGTTGGTGTTTGAGTTATAGTCGTCAGTGTTTGAGTTGGGGTTGTTGGCTCACCAGATGTGGTAGTTGGTGTTTGAGTTTTAGTTGTGGATTTTTGAGTTGTAGTTGAAATTGCTTCTATCTGAGATGTACTTGTTAATACTTGAGCGATAGCTGTAGAGGTCTGAGTTGTTGTTGCTTGTGTTTGAGTTGTGATTTTTAGTGTTTGAGTTGTGGTTGCTGTTGCAGAAGGTGTGGTTGTTGGTGCTTGAATTGTGGTTGTTGGTTCAACAGTAGCAGTTGTTGTTGCTTGAGTTGTGGATGTTGCTTGAGTTGTTGGTGAACCAGTTGTAGTTGTTGCAGAAGTTGCGGTTGTCGGTGCTTGAGTTGTGGTTGTTGTTGCAAAAGTTGAGGTTGTTGCAGAAGTTGTGCTTGTTGGTGCATTAATTTTGGTTGTTGGTGTTTGAGTTCTTGTGGTTGGTGCAGGAGTTGTAGATGGTGAATAAGTTATGAATGTTGGTGCCTGAGTTGTTGTTGGTGAAGAAGTTGTAGTTGTTAGTTGTAGTGTTCTGGTTGTTGGTGCCTTGGATGTGGTTGTTGGCACTTGAGTCATGGTTGTCGGTGCAGCAGTAGTAGTTGTTATTGCTTGAGTTGTGGTTGTTGCAGAAGTTGTGATTGATGATGCCCGAGTTGTGGCTGCTGGTACTTCAGTTGTAGTTGTTAGTGTCTGAGTTATTGTGGTTGGTGCAGGAGATGTGGAAGTCAAATGAGTTGTGATTGTTTGTGCCTGAGATGTGGTTGATGGTGAAGAGGTTGTTGTTATTGGTTGTAGTTTTGTGGTCGTTTGTGCATTAATTGTGGTAGTTGGTGCTTGAGATGTGGTTGTTGGTGTAACAGTATTAGTTGTTGTGGATGTTGCTTTAGTTATTGTTGGTGAAATTGTTGACAATGTTGTTGCTTGAGTTGTGGTTGTTGTTGGAGAAGTTGTGCTTTTTAGTGCCTGAATTGCTGGAATTGTTGTTAGTGAAGCAGTTGTACTTATTGTTGCTTGAGTTGTGGTTGTTGTTGCCTGAGTTGTTGTTGGAACTTGAGTAAGGGTTGTTGGTGCTTGAGTTGTAGTTGTTGGATGTAGTGTTGTGGATGTTGCTGACTCAGTTATAGTTGTTGGAGCTTTAATTGCGGTTGACGGTGCTTGAGTTGTGGTTGCTGGTGAAGAGGTTGTAGTTGTGGTTGTTGTTGTTGCAGAAGTTGTGCTTTTGAGTGCCTGAGTTGTCGTTGTTGATGCTTGAATCATGGACGTTGGTGCTTGAGTTATGGTTGTTGATGCAGCAGTAGCAGTTCTTGTTGGTACTTGAGTTGTGGATGTTGCTTGAGTTGTTGTTGTTACTGTTGCAGTTGTTGTTGTTGGTACTTGAGATGCTGTAGTTGGTGTAGCAGTTGTAGTTGTTGGTGCTCGAGTTGTAGTTGTAGCATTTGTAGCTGTTGGCAATTGACTTGTAGTTGTTGGTGTAGCAGTTGTAGTTGTTGGTGCTTGAGTTGTAGTTGTTGGTAATTGACTTGTTGTTGTAGATGTAGCAGTTGTAGTTGTTGGTGCTTGATGTGTAGTTGTTGGTGTAGCAGTTTTTGTTGTTGGTACTTGAGCTGTGGTGGATGGTTTAGCAGTTGTTGTTGATATTGCTTGAGTTGTAGTTGTTGGAGTAGCAGTTGCAGTTGTTGGTGCTTGAGTTGTAG